GAGGTTATCATGTTGACTCCCTTGCCGGGATGTTGATAATATTGATGTTGTTCCCTTGCCAGGATCTTTATTGCAATTTCATTTATTCCCTTGCCCTATTGTTTGTGATTGTTGTTTGGGTGAGGAAGAGCGTTAAAGCACGAAGGGTGATGCCGTGCATTATTTGTATTGTGAGGAAAGAGTGTAAAGCACGAAGGGTGATGTCGTGCCGCACGATGTACCATTCCGTGCCCATTATATTGGTTTCATGGTGAGGATGAGAGTAAAAGCACGAAGGGTGATGCCATGCAATTTATATCGATTCGTATGGTAAGGACGAGAGTAAAAGCACGAAGGGTGATGCCGTGCACTTGTCCTTGATTTTCCCTGATTCTTGCTAATAATTGAGTTATGTTGTCCTTTACGTTTATTTACTGATTTTCTGTTGTTACTTGATTTTATTTCGATGTTGTAGATTCCCTTACCCTATTTGCCTTGTGATTGTTGCTTGGGTGAGGAAGAGTGTAAAGCACGAAGGGTGATGCCGTGTACTGTTTTGGTGAGAGTGTGTTTAAGCACGAAGGGTGATGTCGTGCACTTGTCTTTGATTTCCTAATTTTTATTGATAACTGTGTTACGTTTTCTCTACACTAAATTGCTGGCTTCCTGTTGATACTTGTTGTACCCCGCAGCATGATTTCCCCTTCCTATTTTCAATTAAACTGTGGCGATCCTCATATTTATTTGTTGCTCTTCTGTTACTATTCGGTGTTTCCCTACAGCATGCTCCCCCTCCCATTTTGACTGGTTATTTTCTGTATTTCTTTTCCGCTGTATATATATATTTGAACTGCTCATGTTTATTTGGTAGTCTGGTCCTAGCCTCGTCACTACTTCGCCGAGGTTAGGCTAGACACTTACCAGCACATGGGGTCGGTTGTGCTGATACTACACTCTGCACTGTGTGCAGATCCCGGAGCAGCTTTTGGACAGTAGTTGGAGGGCTTCGTTCAGTCCACCCGGAGACCCAAGGTAGACCTGCAGGCATCCGCAGGCCCTGGCGTCTCCCTCTATCTCTATTTCCTGTTTCTTTCTCTCTTATTCAGAAACAGTGTACTGTTATTCTTCAGACCTTGTATGTAGTAATCTTAGATAGTCTGTGATACTGTGATACCAAATTTTGAGAAATTGAGGTTTTAGAAGTTATAATAGACGTTGATTCCAGATATTTTATTGTTACCTTCCGCTTAATTATTTAAAGTTCCGCTGATTTCAAGTTATCGCTTATATTTGTTAAAAAGAAGTAGTTGGTTATTGAAGTAAGTAGTTAAGTTTTTGCTTGCCTAGCTCCCAATAGTAGGCGCCATCACGACTCCCGAGGGAGAAAAATCCGGGTCGTGACACCGACTCCTGGAGCAATTAGATTGTCGTTTTCCCCATGAAATCATAGACCATCATCACCATGTACGGGTGCGTTTTGATAGTTTGACATGTTTCAACATGAGAGCAAAAATACTTAACAAGAACAAGTATGAAATGAAGTGTGTTATCAGAATCAGCACTGAAACAATCACTATTATCCTTAGCCCCATGGTGGGCGCCAAACTGTTTACCCTAAAATTCGAGTAACAATTAAACTTGTATTGTGGTTTTAAGGATATGTAATTTAATTCAATGCCAATTGATAAACAAGGGATTAAATAGATAAATTAGAGAACAAAGTAAACCAAACCAGTATATAGATCAAATCTCGACCTCGACCTGCGATAGTCTCGAGGTGTGTTAATAGGAATAGCAAATTGTAAAGCAACCTTGAGGAACAGTAAGTGAAATAGCAAGAGAGTATGTGCGTATATTTTCTTATCAGTGAATCATGTCTTGTACAAATGAATGGGATCCCCCTTTATATAATAGGGGAATCCTAAATAAGGTGCACTTCTAATTATAGTAGGAAATCATATTTGATAACTGTTTAACCGCCGAAGACCAATCCATTTCGAAATTCACGCCGTGATCCCCAGCCCGTTGCAGGTTTCTCGCTCTTTCCGTTACTGAATCATACCGACACCATCTCGAAGCATGCTTTCTTCTGACCTCGGTAAGTGTTATCGACCTCGACCTTGAAAAGGAACTTCGACCCCGAGCTCGACGTCCTGGTCTTTCGATGTGGTATTATTTTTTCCATCGAAGAACGAAATCGGGTAGCCCCGATTTCTACCGTATACAATAAAACACCTCATTTTTTTGAATAAGAATTTCAAAATGGGTATAGTTTAGGGGGTCATAATGCATTTCTGTAATTCTTTTTAGGGTTCTTCGCATTTGACACCCTCAATGTGTGTTCTTTTCTGTGTCTTGTACCAAATCCTATTCTTTTTAAGTATATAATCGTCAAATTTATTTTTAAAAATCCTAAACAGAGGACAAATTTTGTTATTCCCACTTTGTTTTCTCCCATTGGAACATCATTGTAAGGAAAACTTCACGATCATGGACATAAAACATTTCTTTAGAACATCAGGTAAATATCTTTCATCCTTCCTTTGCCTCATTCCCCTTCCTTTGCTCCATTCTCTTTTCTTCCCTTAAGAACAAGAAACTTCAAGATGGAGACCAAGGTGTGTGTATTTGTTTTTTTTTTTTTTAAATATTCCTTCTATTTCATAAGATTTGATTGATTTTCGTTGTTTATTTCTTGCTACAACAACAACAATAAACCCAGTAATTTCCTACAAGTTGGGGCTGAAGAGGGTAAGATGTACGCAGCCTTACTCCTACCCCTGAAAGGGCAGAGAGGCCGTTTCCGATACTAAGGCTTTGCGTTTCCATGATTTCTTCAGAAAGGTAATTTATTTCCAATTCGATGGTAGTGTTCTTACTATTTCTTGCACTCATGATTTATTAAAAATTCTGATTTTAAAAGATTAAAAGCCAAAAAAAAGTAAAAAAATAAAAAGAGAATTTAGTAATCAATTCACTACAAGAAAATAGCGATTTTCTAACTGCCAAAACGGTCACAAAGCGGTCAAAAATGTTAATTTCTGACTATATTCAGACCAAAAAATCGTAGTCGCAAAATAGCTGGTCTGAAATAGTTTGCGACCGCATCCGTCCGTAATTTGCGACTACTGCGGTCGCAAAGTCAAAAGAGAAAAACGACGAATAAATGTTGTCAACTCTCCGATTGACGCGGTCGCAAACAATTTAAATAAAATTTTAATTTTAACTTTCCCACTATTTCGGTCGCAAATGATATATATAT